AAATGCCTTATTACTAGAATATTTCACCATCATGTACTTCAGAAGAGATCTAAATGGGAGTTACTAGGCTGCACTTTACAGCAGGTATGAAGCGGTGATGGTCCTGAAAAGGGAGAGGAGCAGCAAAACAGAGACAATGAAGTTATTGAGCTGCCAAGCTGCTGCTTGGCATTTGTCCACAGCATTCCAAACTCAATCTGTTACAAGAATTGGATCTTGGATCTGCTACAACAGGATCTTGATGTGGCTTTTGCTTTGCCTGTGCTACTCAGAGGCTTGCAGTGGTTGTTATTTGGAGTAACAGAATGCAAGTGCAGGCAAGGCAGCATCTTTCCTTCGTGTTAAAGACAGATGCAGTGTTTAAAGAATTTTTACAGAAACTGAAGAAATCACATGTAAACTGTGTTTCTGTAAAACAAACTGACCAAATGACAAGGATTTAACCTGATTTAGTGCAGCTCTAGGATCAATCTCCTCTAATATGTTCTTCTGTCACTACAGGCAGGTGGATTGATCACATCTTGAGCTGAGCTTTACTCACCAGTGAGCCCCCCGTCCTGTTTCCAGTTGGTTTCTGTGGCACAGTCACTGAGCACTAGCCAGCTGTGATCCATGTCCCCTGCAGTGCAGCAGCTCCTGTTTTTAGCCTGCTCCAGACCTCACAAGCGACAAATTCCTTGCAGCACCCCTTGGCACGGATGGCCCAAGTGGGGCATCATGCAAAGTACATCTGGCAAGGGTGGCTCCCATGGCACCTTCATCGTGGGGTACTGGTGAACTTCCCTGGCCCCAGCACAGGGAAAAGGCCTCTGCCAGAGGAGTCCTGCAAGGAAGATGTTACTGGGATTCTCAAGTTGTGTAGGGCCAGCTTTTTTTACTACTACTGCTCTAAAAATACCTATTATTATAAGCATGGTTAATTATGCTGTATGTCAAACCCACAGTCAGCATCAGACAAAGGAAATGCCTTATTACTAGAATATTTCACCATCATGTACTTCAGAAGAGATCTAAATGGGAGTTACTAGGCTGCACTTTACAGCAGGTATGAAGCGGTGATGGTCCTGAAAAGGGAGAGGAGCAGCAAAACAGAGACAATGAAGTTATTGAGCTGCCAAGCTGCTGCTTGGCATTTGTCCACAGCATCCCAAACTCGATCTGCTACAAGAATTGGATCTTGGATCTGCTACAACAAGATCTTGATGTGGCTTTTGTTCTGCCTGTGCTACTCACAGGCTTGCAGTGGTTGTTATTTTGAGTTACAGAATGCAAGCACAGGCAAGGCAGCATCTTTCCTCCAGCTACTCCTTGGAATCACAATGGATCTCCTGCTGCAGCTGAAGCAGCAGTGGGCTTGTGCAGAAAGGGCTTTGGTGACCTAACAGAAACACCTTAAATTAATAGAAATCCCAAAGCTGAGGGACAAAGCTGGATTGAGAAAGCTTTTGTCAGAAACACCTTTTTTTTATTTTCTCCCCTCTCCTATCCAAGAGGGGGATAAAATGATTCTTTCAAAATGCAAAGGCTTCAGTGCTATGGGAAGGTTTCACTGTGGAAGCGATACTCACTGAAAGGACAGCAACACTGTAAAATGGGGGAAAAGGTGAGGAAAAAGTAAAAGCCTTCAGCCATCCAAGAGGAATCTATAGGTTAGTTACAAGAAACACCAGTATGAAATGGTAATATGAAATGCAATTCTCAAGCAGTGTTTGGACAAGGGCCACCAGAGCAGGACAGAGAGCATCTCACAGGTTCAGGGTTGCTAGTGGGAATTGCACCCCAGCACCTGAGTGGCCACTGAAACTGCTCCAGCCAAGAACCCCCTGTGGAAAGCTGAGTGCCTCTGGGACAGCAGGAGCACACTCAGCATGATCCCATCCTGGGCTTAGCCCCACAGCTGGTTGGGTGCATGTGGAGTTCAGGGCTTCACACTCAGGGCATTGCTTTGTGAGAGTGACAAGGAAATGGGAATGAACCTGTGCTTGGATAAGGCCTAGGGAAATGTCAGTCAAAAATCCAATTACCCAAATCAACCAGCACCCCTATAAAAGCCTTAAATGAGCCCTTCTAAAACCATATTTGTATTCTTGGGTTTCAATAAGATTAATTTAATTGTGATCAACATTGTCATGAGTTTCTCAATTCAAATCCAAGTGTTCCAGCAGCCCAGCATTCCCATCTTCCAGGCACACAGTGCTGGTTTCAAGGGATGAGCTGACAGTACAGCACACAGGCGCTGAAGACCTCAGGCAAACGCCTGCTGACTGCTCATGTCATCATCACAAACTCCTCCTAGCATCAGATCAGTAAAAGCTACCAAGAACTTGAAAACTTCATATAGGCAAATTGGAATTAATTTTTGCTGTCCCCTCCTTTCCTCAACTGAGGAGCCTTCAAAAGCCTGTTCTGTGTCAGCTGAAACCACTTGTGCTCCCCTCTAATTTTTGGTGATGTCTCCAGGAACCAATCAAGATATAACAAGTCCAGCTCAGCAGTAACACACTGGATGGCAGAACAATGCAATTACACAGCCTTTGTCCCTCCTAAATTGTGTGATAAGAAAGGAAATTAAACCGTACATAGCATCAACATATATTTACATACGGCATTCCTTTTCATGAACTAAACCAAAAAATTCCCTAAGAACCCATACAGAACTGCTGATGGAGAGGACTACCAACCACCACACCATTAGCTCCTGCATCCTATGTTTGCAAATAAAACACGCTCTGTAGAAGTGATTGCCCTGGAAGTTATTGGTACATTTGAATGCAAACTACCAAACCATGAAAAATGAGGCATCCACTTGCTATAAAAACAAATTAGAAGGCAATGCTTTGCTGGCAAAGCCATTGGAGTACCACAGTTCATAACTATTCATGGTACGATTAACAGATGTCTTTGCTTGTACTGCGAGCAGCCTTATCATACTGTCATATTCACAGTACTTTATATTAAAGTGAGTGCAAGCAACTTTGTTTTGGAATGTAATAAAACCTCAGTTTTGTTTAAAATACTTTCCAGCCCTGTGTACCCTGCTGATCATCTCTGTGCTGAGTTACACAAACCCATCACAGCCACCTTGCTCCCTTGCAGTGGGACACCATCTTTCCCTTTTTGGACTTTTAAAATAACAACCAGAAACCTAAGGAAGAGCTATTATTTCCACAGTGAGAAAGAAATGCTCCAATCAGTGTGACAATTATGGCTAAAAGTTAGATGGGTGATTATTGCCATGGGCAGGGAGAAACACTCATTTCAGTCTTGAACCGATGCATAATGCCTGCAGATAGTGTTTCCTGCTATTTCCATAAACCACCCTGTTTATTCCTCCACAGCGATCTCCAAAACACCACATAAGTGGGAAAGCAGGCATAAAACCAGGTCTGGTGGAGTCAGGGATGGGCACAGCTGGGGGTGCCCAGGCCTGAGCCTTCCTGAGCCCCCAACCCCCAGGCAGATGGTGCCTGGAGGGGGGGTCCCCAGTGAGGATTCTCAGGAAAATTACAGGATTTTAGTGCCTTCCCTGACAAGCCAAGCTAGTTGGCATTCTTCTCCACAAAGAGCGCTTATTCCTTGGCTGCTTCAATTATCAGTGGCAGTCTGGGGAAGAATTTTGTCCAAATGCTTTCCGGTTAACCGAGCGGGCTGTGTCAGCTGGCACCAGGCTTGGCAGCTGCCTGCAAGCTTCACATAATTTCTTTCCATCAACTATTTTAAGAAGCCTTCCCCACACGTATTTCCCCCCATGAATACTAATTAAATTATTGCATATTCTATTGGATGGCACACTAATCGTGGTGTCAGGCAAAAGTACATTGATACATACCAATGAGGGTGTCAGGCTTACTGGCTGCTTTTTTTAAGCTTTGAGAGGTCTTGATGTCATTCACACCAGCTGAGGGATTTTTTGAAATTGGGGCAACTTTTCTTTGTGTGTGCTAAAACAATTTCTCACCTAGCTAGTGCATCAGATCTTGTGAAAATGGCAGATTTAAGTTGGACACAGTGCTGCAGCCAGAAAAGCAGGGAGCTACAAGGCTTTCAGGAAGCTACCAACATCCTGCACCAACCCAAATAGTGTCCCTCTCCTCCCTCCCTGTATGCCTTTGTCTGCCTGGAACCAGGCTAGGTTAATCTGACCACATCTATTGGGTCTCATTTAATAAGAGAAAACAGCATGTTATAGAGAGTTACAGAACTGTCAGAGCAAGATCATCAGGGCTCGCTGCACCAAAAGCCACAGGGCACAAGTAAAATGCATTTCAAACTCCCTAAACCTCACAAAAAGGACATTTAAGCACACATTTAGCATTTAACTTAAAATACTTACAGTGTGAAATCTTACACATGTTGGTCTGGATCACTTATTATTTAACAAATACTTTAATGTAAAATATAAATCTTCACTAAAAAAACCCAAACAACAAAGCACATATGTGTTGTTTTCTCTTTACCCATGAGCACCACAAGTGAAATTTGACCAGAAAAACCCAACCCTGCCTCCAGTTTATTTTCATTTCCCATGGAAATTGTCTGAAAGACCATGACTACACACCTATGTCATCTAATTCATCAGAAGTCAACTTCTTCATAAAAAGAACTCCCTCATAAATATAGGCCAAGGAACAACCATTTTCAGAGGGAAAGAAAAAAAATTTAAAAAAAGGACCAAAACCTGATAAAAGTTTTCACTTTATCTTTCAACTTCTTGCATGTTTCAAGACCACCAAACAAGCTACAGAACAAAAAAAATCAAAATAACTTGTTAACCTCAGTCAGTAAGAGTAGAAAACAAGTACTCAGGCAGACTACTCAGAAGCGTAAGTATGTATTGACACTTAACCCAAAATTATGCAGGATTAGAATAGCAAGAAGCACATCAAAAAAAAGGAAAACACAGTCTTTTTTGATCGTCTGAATGAAATAAGCAGATATTTCCCAACTCAGAACATTTGCAGACCAGCTGAAAAACTCCAGAGGTTAAGAACATTACTGACCTCTTTCTGGAGCCAGGACAACACAATTCTTCAGAGGAACCAAGCAGCCAAGGGTCTCCTAAACCCACACTCTACCTGCAGAGCACATTGCAAAACTGCTCCTCAAAGCCAGAAAGAAAGGAAATCAAGGAGCATAAATAGCTTTTACACACCTGATACTTGTATGAGTCAGTGAAAAGCCACAGCTGCCTTCAATTCTGTAGTGTTTAAAAAAATCAAAGCAAAATAAGAGACAGCAGGAAGTAGTTTTAGAAACTGAGGGTGAAATAAGGATTTCTCTGTAATAACCTTCACATGAGCTTACTGTGCTCCCTCCGACCTGGAAGAGGCATTAATGATGTGTTCCATGTTTATCTGGTTTTGATAACCCCAGGGATTTAGAAGTTGTTCTGCCCACTAATTTTCTGCTGCTTTGTATTGGAATACATTCATACTTGTCCCAAGTAGGAAGCTCTCACCTGTCCACCACCTTCTTCCAAGGTGAAATCTAAATTGAGCAGGAGAAAAATGTATTGTGAGAAACTGGTCCTTCTTCTGGAGCATCCACCACAGAGAGAGAGTAGGAGAGACTGGAAAGGGGAAAAGCAAGGTATGTAATGGAAGAGAAAGGTGATTTTCACTTCCCTTTCTGTAGACCTACTTTAGGTCTATATTGATAGAAAATTTCCTGCAGCCTCTAGAGGAATGTCTCTTATAATTCTTCCCTACCTACAAGCTCCAGAACCCTAGCACATTGCATTGATAAATACATATGCAACAAAGAATTGAGGAGTAATAATTGAATTTTACCACATTAATCTGGATCTAATAGAAGACAGTAGTGTAAATCTGCTTGATAAACATTCCCTAGGACCAACTGCAACACCCCAAATTATTTTCAATTGCTGTGTGCCATTTCGTAAACACAATTATCAGTCTTTATTTCAATTGCTATCTTGGTTGAACAGGCAAAGTTGGCAATTAATCATTGGTGTGCCATAGTATTCCAGAAATCATTGCTATGGATCTGCTCTTGGCTGGCTTTGTAAGAAATTGTTTCCTCTGTAATTAACATGGAAGATGAACCAAAACACTTTCATCTGCAATGTTATGCATCCTGTAGGGGAGAAAAATCTGACATCAGGTCTTGACACTGTTGTTCAGGTGTTAGCTGAGCTCCTAAATAAAATTTTCAGCAGGAGTCAGAACAGTTTGCTCTGATAAATCTGAGGTTGTGGTCATGCATGATCTGAAATCTCTGCATTCTACCTTTTGCAGCTTGGAATCCCTTTCAATCGTGATACCCATGGAAGAGGGTCATCCAGCTTCTATTTGTACATATATTACTAGAGCCACAGAGGTGTCTAGTTATGCTGGCACTTAACCAATTTTTGCTGTCTCTTAACCTTTCAAATTCCTTGAAGACCTCTAAATCAAAGCTGTTGTTTGTTCTTTATGAAGAACAAAGGAGACGTAAAATTGTTGCAAATAATCTAAAACTTCACTCTATTGCTTTTGTATCCAGGTCCTTCTGTTGCTTAAAATTTATCAGTAGTAGTTGATTAAACATTTATTACATCACTCAGGTCAGAATGCAGCATTCTAAGCTCTGTTGATATTTCTTTCCTAAATCTTAGGCTTTAGGGGCTTATTATTCCATTATATTAGATCTCACTGAACTCATTTATAATAATCAGGGATTATGCCTGAAACTAAATTAGTTCAGTTTTTATTGATAGCACTTACTAGCAGGCTCCCAGTTTCTACTCTACAGCTGGTGGATAAAGAAAATACACACTGGGAACTTCAAAGAGAAAATTTTGTTTTAAGAATATTTTATCTAACAGCGCAGAAAAATAATCAGAATACTCTTGAAAAGGCCTGAAGTCTCTTTTTGGGGCAAAGATGCAAGATAAAGCAGTGATTGCAAATTCAGTGTGCTGGTGGGGATCTCTAGAGCCTCTGGTAGGAGATTCCCAGCTGTCACTTCCTGGCAGAAAGCAGGATCAGCTCCTCTGGGGAAAGCAGGCATCACCTCCCAGGAGATTTCTGCACTGAGCCTACAGTGACATTGGTGAGCCTTGCAACGAGCCCGGATCCATCTGAGCCACACGAACTGACAGAGAAACAAATGTGCATATGCTCTAAAGGCACTGTTTTACCTCTCCATAAAACCTGACAAGAAATACCTGCTGGATCCAAATAAATCCAACAGATCAGGCTGACACCTCGAACATGTATAGTCTGCCATGTGAACAGAGCTCTGAAGCTGCAGGAATGACTTCTTCCTTTTGGCAATGGAAAGAGTTGTGCACGCTGCCAATAACTGGGGAGCGTCTCCCCACTGCTACAGGGGTGTTCCAGTTCCTGTATCACCACTAAAGATCTGAATGCTCTCCTGAAGGTGCTCAGAATGCAAGGGATCAGAAGGAAAATTCACATTTCAGATGGGGAAAATTACTGGACAGAATTTCACCACACTTAGACCAATATTTCCTCCTACAAGCTGATTAGGAAAGGAATAGAGAGAAAGCAACATTGTCTTTTGGATGAAGAAGTTTGTCAGGCACGGGTACAGTGCAACTTATGAAAAAAAGCAGCAAAATATGGCTTAATGCCCATTGATTCTGTACAACAGGCCATGACTGTGTTAGAGATGTATAGGGGATGGTCCTAAAAATAAAATTCTGGAGCAAAATACAGTTTATTAACTTATTTCAAATCAACTGCAACACAGGACATAAAGTCTTGTATACCCGCCAATAACTTTTACTTTTCAATGCTGATGTAAAAATGGGGAAAAAAAAGGCCTCCTTCCCTTAATAAGACTTCATAGATTTCTGAATGCAGTACTGAGGGAGAAAAACTGTGAGAGCCCTGAAAAAGTTTAAGTCCTGCATGCAGCACAACAGAGTTTATGCAGAATAGTCATAAAGGTACTTTGTTGTGGTTTCCTACACTCTCCCAAAGTACTTTTTTCATTTGAATTTGTAATGAATCCTGTATATTTACATAGGGAAGCACAAAGCCACTGTTATTCCCAGACTCATGCTCAGCCCAGCTGCAGATTGGGCCCTGCGTTGCCATGCACTGTTCTTCCATGCTGTGACCCCAATGACTCTGTACCTCCCTGCAAACACCATCCTGCAGCCTTCCTCTTTCCCACTGATTTCACTACAAATATTTTCCTCAACAGCTACACAAATGATTTTGTGCCATGCCACGCTGAGGAGCTGGGAGTTTTCAGAGACTCCAGCCTTTCCTGTGTCTTTTTTTAATTAAAGCATGAAAACATATGGCTCAGTTTCAAGTGTCTAATTGACAATATCTACAAGTGCTGTTGAGAGGTTCAATTGTATGTGTAGCATCTGATAATCTGATTGTATTTTGTTTAAGACTTGAGAGCATTTCAGATGTCAACAGATGGCAGCAGATATTCTTTGGAGAAAAAAACCCAGCCCAGTAATTCTATTTCTTTTAGAGTGTTGTCCTGTCTTTAAACTCTATTGAGGTAGAGTTTGGATGTAGGGACTGGAATGAAAGGAAATTAAAAAACTTCAGCACTAAGAATGGATGGATTTGCTTTGTCCCTCAAGAAAGCTTTGGTTAATTACAGAAGTGTTTCCTGCAGGACATTCAGATTTCATAACCCATGTACTGTATGTAGGCACAAAACTGCTCTTCATACCCTATCCTGCAAAAGAAATTCCCTTAGTGACAGGGAAAGGCTTCACTTCCACACTCTGCAGATGAGGTTACTGCCATGGTCGGATTATACCTTGGAATACAGACTCTAAGTGATTTTGATTATTTAGGTCTCAATTGGCCTCAAGAGAGTTTTGATGTCCACAAATAACAGTAAATCTTAATTGCTTCTTTTGATTAAGAATACCTTGGATAACCAATGGATTTAGTTGGAGCAGAAGAGATTAGTTAAAGTTTAAATGCAGGGCAAAGACCTTTTGCTTGTCTTATAATGGAAGAGCATTATTACTGATAAAAATATGAAGTACTTCTGTTCTTACAGTTATTTCAGTCCTTTTATCTGTGATTTTTTTTTCATAACCACTCTAAACCACAAGCCACTTCAGCTTTTAATATTAATGCTTTCACAGGAGTGGAAAGAGAATGAAACAGGTCTTCTCATTGTTTAAGAGATGTGTTCCTCCAATCCTAGTTTATTAATCTTAACAGAAAACACCTTTATTGAAAAGATGCGTTTCATTATAAGGAAAGGAAAAAAGACAATGTTCTTTGCAATGGTCCTGGAATTCAAGGTGTGCTGTGAGAAAAGTATTTAATATATCCTCAGCTCCCGCATCCATTCCCAAATTGCCATCTGTTGTGCATACATTATGCACTTGTATAACAACATGCAGAGCTAATATTGTTTTGAAATAGAAGTTATGAAAGTTCAGTAAAATACATTGTAGCTGCTGCCTCATTTTTCCTGCAGCTTTGGAACAGACACTTTTCCATTATCTTCATCTCCCATTGTAGTGTTCAAACAGGAAGATGTACAGTGTGGAGATGAATTAAAGAATCGTTACCTTTCAGCCCTGGGTACATGACTGGCAGGGATAAGATCCAAGTCGACCACAAATCTTTTTGAAGCCTTCTCCTTCCTTCTGTTCTGCTGCTGCCTGGTTTTATCAATGAATCAAAAATTTGGTGGGGTTTTTGCCAATGGATGAATTTTGTCTGCAGGAAATCCATATGGATTTTGTGGATACTTAGAAGATGTGCAAGGGCAGATAATATGAATAACACTCTGTTATCCTTATAATGAAGATAATATATACAAAAAAGGCAGAAAATACAACTTCACTCAAATATGCTGACATATTAATTCAATGAACCTTGGCTTGACTTCAATAACCAAACTATTTCAATACTGATGGGAAATTGGTTCTTTTAACTTTTTGGTGAAAAGACAACAAAATTTGCGCTGCAAAGTGGACTGAATTCCTCTTCCCAGAGAATTTAAGCACAAAACTGCTCTTCATACCCTATCCTGCAAAAGAAATTCCCTTAGTGACAGGGAAAGGCTTCACTTCCACACTCTGCAGATGAGGTTACTGCCATGGTCGGATTATACCTTGGAATACAGACTCTAAGT